AAGGAGAGAATGAGAGAGAGAATACAGACTTCTCAAGGGTAGTGAAAAACTATCAAGAAACATAGAAACAAGCAAATGATAACATGTTCAAGAGAGAACACAGGCCTAAGAAAGCAAGCCTAGCACTCAGTTTCTTCAACTGTAAATTAGATAATGTTTACTGTAAGCATTTGATTGGTTTTAAAACATAAAAACAAGTTATTTTGCTTGCTAGAAGTATTTGTAACTTTTCACCCCTTTCATACTTGGTCTTTCTATTTCCTCAGTGTTTTATAGTTAAATCGCAAAATTTAGATACTTTAGTATGACAAAGGGAAGCCACTTTTGGGGGGGGTACCCCATGATTCTCAGAACTGACTCCTTGTTTTGCACTCAAGGATCACATCAAACTCAGGTCTGCCAAATGTAGGGCAAATAACCCACCCCTGGACTCTCTCTGCAGTGCCTACTTTTGATTTTTGAGCCACACTCTCCAGTGCTTGGGCTATTCCTGGTTCTGCTCTGTGTCCAGGGGTTGCTCCCCTGCAGTGCTCCCGGGACCATGTGGTGCTAGGGATCAGGGTGCAGATTCCTGAATGCAAAGCATGTGCATTCATTTCTGAGTTCCATCCAGAGCACCCTGGCTCAGAGCACCCCTCTGAGCCATCTCCCCAGCCCTAACAAGCAGCTTTTGAATTTAAGTCACTATACAGGAACATTTATTTGGAGTCCTAAATACAAGGACATTTGGATGGGGAAGAAAAATAAATACAAGGATGTCCAAAGAAGAGAATTGTTCTAGGAGACGCCTTTAGAATGAGGATTCATCTTTGAAATTACAGTTTTAAGCAGAAGCAGGCCAGGGAGTTGGCTCAAAGGATTGGAGGAACCCTGTTCTATCCCAACACGATATGATCCCAAGTTTTGCTAGGTGTGGCCCAAAAACAACAGTATTATACAGAAATGTATGAGGATTTGCTCTGAGTGGCAATTTTTTTTTGAGTGGCAATTATTTTTAATGTTATTTTGTTCTATATGTTTCGGTGCTGTGTTCTGTATAATGAATAACACATTATTACAAAAGTAGTTATGTTTTATAAAGTGCACACAGCATTTCGGGCTAGAGAGATAGTACAGTGGATAGGGCCCTTACCTGGCACACAGCTGACCCAAGTTTGATCCCTGGCATCCCATATGGTCCCTAGTCTTATGTGATTCCTGAGCCAGGAGTGATCCCTGAGCAGAACCAGAAGTCATCCCTAAGCACTGCCAGATGTGACCCAAAAAACAACAACAAAAAGATAAAAGATAAAGTATACAGAAGGTAGCAATTGCTATAGCAGGCTGAACACATGGGCTTGAGGAGACTAGAGCGTGCTGGTTCCTTCTCACTGGTCAAGGTAGGGCAGAGTACCTATTGAAGAGATCTGGCATCTGAGTTGGTAATTTTTTAATTGTGATCCTTCTAAGTCATGCATATATTGGTAGCTAACAATGTCCAACTCCAGAAATCTTACAAATTTATAAGGGACTTTGAGCAACAAGAGGTTAGTTAGACCTCAGATCTCTGCGTAAATATTTATTGCAGCTTGTTGACAAGTATATAGGAAATACTGATGTTTACATATTCTCTTTGGGTTTTAAATTTTTTTTATTTTTTATTTTTTAATTTTTATTAGTGAAACACCATGAGGTACAGTTGTAGACTTACAAATTTTTGTGCTTGTAGGAGTACTGCTACTTATTCGGCCACTGATTAGCTGATTGAATTGAGCATGAATTCCACCTTACTTTTTTTTCTTTTTTTATAATTTTATTTATTAAATCATCATGAGAGCAGTTACAAAGCTTTCCAGTTTAAGTGTCGGTCATACAATGAAACACCCATACCTTCACCAGTGCCCATTCTCTACCACCAAAAACCCCAGTATACCCCCATCCCACACCCTCCCCCTACCTGTGGGGCAGATGATGTCCACATTACTCTCTCTATACTTTGATCACACTCAATATTTTGACACCAGACCCACCATTATTATTTGGGATTTTACCCCAACACTCAGATCTGCTGAAAAGGCAGCAGTAGACAATTTGTTTTCTATTGCTGGTTAAGAATAACATATGATGTCACGTGGCTGCAGTAGTGGCTGCACAATTTTGAAATTCGGAAATTTTAACACTTAAATCTGGAGGGATTTCTGCCCAAACATGCTGGGTTCCAAGATTTGTTCCTGAGTTTCTGGGATCATGGCTGTTAAGCAGCTTGATCGGGAGCCAGAAAGGCCATTCATGGGCAGCGACTCGGGGTCTTGTTGGGGTGGGAGGTAAGGGCCGGCTCCACCCCCATCCTGTGAGGCCCCACGTGTCTCATCATTGAGGTCCCAAACCTGACTGTCCAGTGTCCTCTGGAGGATGGTGGCCACTGAGCCACCTAGGGGGAGCAGGTGGAGGGACAACACCCTTTCCCCCCTGAGGTGGCCCAGCGACAGTAACCTACTGTGGGGTCTGGACGTATTTCTGCCAAAAGCCGTTGGGTTTCGAGACTTGTTTCTGAGTCTCTGGAATCAAGGCCATTAAGCAGTTCGATCAGGAACCAGAGAGGCCATGCCTCCAATTATATAGCTAAGCTCCAGGTGGTTTGTGGGTGTATCTCCCACATTCCTAACTTTTGGCCGTTTACTTTCTTGGTGAACTTTTCCCCAAGTTTTTGGGGTCTGGCCAAAGGCACAGCAGCAATTTTGGGGTATTTGGAAGTTTGAAGGCGCCATCAGGCTGCTGATGCACTCATCTCACAGGTACAGATTGACCTGCTGGCTGCACCATACCCCCATAAAAGTTTTTATTTTTTAAATACAGAAGTACTGCTGTTTATTCAGCCACTAATTAAACTGACGAAAACTGCATAAACTTCACGTTACTTTTATTCAATTGAATATCCATGAGATAGACCATTACAAAGCTGTTCATGGTTGTGTTTCAGGTATACAATGATCCAACAACCATCCTTCCACCAGTCCTTCCACCAGTACATTTCCCACCACCAATGTCCCTTATTTCCCTCCCACCATCCCCCAACATGCCCCCCCCCCATCTGCTTCTATAGCAGGCACTTTTATTCTTTTTCTCTTTTTGTGCATTATAGTTTGCAATGCAGGTACTTAGAGGTCATTATTCAGGGCACTCAGTATTTTTATTGGGAAGGTAAGGCTGGAGTAACTTTTTAACTAGGTGGCAGTTTTGGGGTATATGTGTGACTGCTGAAGCTTTGGAAGTACAGGGAGGTGTGAGGACAGGGAGGTGTGAGGAGGTAGCTCATCCCACCCCCTAGAAGACCTGGAGATTTCAGTCACAAAACCTGCATACCCAAGTTTCCATCAGGTTATATCTCGGTGAGGTCTGTCCTGAGATGGTGGAGTCTGGGCAGGGTTGTGATGGCGATTCTGAATTGTGGGAGCAAGCGGCTGCCAGAGTCTCTGCTTGGGTGGGCACCAGGCTAACCTGCCCCCCTCTGATTTACCCTGGTCTTTTCAGCCTTATGTGTGTCTGAGATAAACTGAGGCTTTTGAGATTTATTTATGAGTCTCTGAAGCAAAGTTGATATATGAACTTGTATAGCTGAACCAGAGGTGGCTTGCAGCTGAGCCAGAGGTGGTTTGTAGCTGAGCCAGAGGTGGCTTCCATAAACCTAACTTTTAGTCATTTAATTTCTCAGAGCTGAGCCAGAGGTGGCTTGTAGCTGAGCCAGAGGTGGCTCCCATAAACCTAACTTTTAGTCATTTAATTTCTCAGGAAACTTGGTCCCAAGTTTTTGGGGTTCGATCAGAGGCACAGTGGCAATTTTGGGGATCAGGAAGCCTGAATGCACCATTAGGCTGCTGATGCTCTCACTCATGGGTATAGGTTGACCTGCTGGCGGCACCACACCCCCACATTTAAGTTTCTTAAATTGGTGTTAAAAAATATATTGAGCAGGAGAATCTAAAGATCAGGATAAGAATAATGAAAGGACCATCAAAAGTGCAAGGCTCTCACTGTGGCAACATCCAAATGAACTTTTATATGTGCAGAGAACTCCAGGCCAAGACAATTTAGAGAAATTATATATGACCTTCTCCCAAATGCCATACTCTGCTTTTTCCATTCTGGAGAAGCCTATTTTCTCTCTTAAACAAATATTCTCTTTTTCTTTTTTTTTCACTTTTTGGGTCACACCCAGCAATGCACAGAGATTACTCCTGGCTCTGCACTCAGAAATTACTCCTGGCGGTGCTCAGGGGACTACAGATGCTGGGAATCAAACCTGGTTGGCCACGCCCAAGGCAAACACCCTACCCGCTGTGCTATCGCTCCAGTCCTTCTTTGTCTTCTCTTACATTTCTCTAAGCAAAATTCTTTCAATAAAAGCTGTTTTTGCTACACACACACGCACACAGACACACACAGAGATTGTTTTCTGTCATTAAAAAGGCCCTAAAAGAGCCAAGTTGATGATTCAAAGGGCTGCAGTTCATGCTTTGCACGCAGGAGCTTGTGTCTGAGCCAGGGTCCTTCAGCACTGCTGGGAGCAACTCTCAAGCATCCAGCCAGGAGTAACTTACAAGCAAGCTGGCCCCCACACACAGCCAGTGAATGTTCTGCTTATTCCATTTCCCTAGGGAAAGTTCAGAGACAGGAAAGCCAAGCCTATTTACTTGCCTAAAGTCATGGTTTTCTGTTTACTGCATTATTAAATTAGACTTGAGGACTGGAGACATATTCAGAGTCAAAAACTCTTACTTTGCATGTGGCCAACACCAGGTCAGCCCTTGTCACTGTGCGTAGTCCCTAGACCACCACCAGGAGTGACCCCTGAGCACAGCTGGGTATGACCTCCCACCCTTCAGCCCCCCTCCTCCAATTAGTTTGTACTGGTATTTTTCTTATTATCATCTTAAAAAGATGACCAAAATGGAATTGCTCTCATATTTTATTTTATTTTTTTATCTCTTCCAGGTTATGGAGGAGGGGAAGATAAAAGATATTTCTAAAAACATAGATTTCTTTTGATTTCATGTGTTTGGATACTTGAAGATTATTGAAGACTGCTTTTTGGAATCAAACAGAATGGATCCCAGTAGTGACTACCATTTCCTCAACCAGATTTTATGGAGAAGGGTGAAACTTACATTGGTTTGCGGCATCTTTGAAGGGGTGCTCCAGCATGTGGACCCTAACAGGATCATTGTCCTGAAAAAAGGTCTCTATTTCTCATACTCTTCTACCTTTTACTGTGGGTTTGGCTGTGGCTGGGTTTGGCTGTGGCTCTGGGCTTCTTTAGCAACTGAGAGGAAGACATTTTTCCTATTTTAGGAAATGGTGGTAGGAAGGTTAGCATGTTACTTTCCCTGACAGAGAACCATGAATGTATATTAGGTTAGTTCCTACTTCTCTTCTTTGTTGTTTTTTTTTTGTTTGTTTGTTTGTTTGTTTGGGGGCCATAGCTTGCACTGTTTGAGGATACCTCCCAGCTCAGTGCTCAGGATCCACTCCTGCTGGTGCTTAGGGATGGAACCCAGGGTCTGCCTCCATGCAGAGCATGCATTTCCTGTCTAGCATATTATCTTCCCAGTCCTACTTCTATACTGTTATTGGTATGATAGCAGAAATTTTTATATAGAGGTTTTTTTTGTCTGGTGTTAGGTTATTGTTATTGTTGTTGTTATTTTTTGTTTTGTTTTGTTTGGCTTTTAGTGTCATACCCAGCGATGTTCAGGGGTTACTCCTGGCTCTGCACTCAGGAGTTACTCCTGGTGGTGCTTGGGCAACCATAGGATGCCAGGGATGGAGCCCAAGTTAGCCGTGTGCAAAACAAAATACCCTACCTGCTGTACTATTAGTTTAGCCCCTTATGTAGAGTTTTTAATTGGTCCGTTTTCACTTCTCTTATCTCTTCTTTTCGGGAGGGGGCACACCTGACAATGCTCAGTGTTACTCCTGGCTCTGCATTCAGGAATCACTCCTGGTGGACTTGGGAGACCAGGTGAGATGCCAGAGATGGAACCTGGGTTGGCTACATGCAAGGCAACTCACTGTGCTATTTCTCTGACCCCATAATTGGTCAATTTTTAAAAATTGTTTTTTTTATATATGTCTTGAAATTAAATTAACCATTCTATTAGATAGAATTACTTTTTTACTTCAACAGATATTCACAAAAATAATAAAGTTTTTTTTCTCATGTAAAAAAAAATCCAGGGGTATAGAGGGCGAGAGAGCATGCTTTGCATGCAGGAGACCTGGGTTCAATCTTTCACATCACATGGTCCCCTGAGCATCACCAGACTAAATCCAGAGCTCAGAGTCAGGAGTAGCACCTGAACACTGTCAGATGTGGCTCAGAAAATGAAAAGATGTTTAGAAGTCAGCTACTGAAGCTCAAAAGATGCCAGGAAAAACAAGCTTTATTCTCTGGCTGTACCACCTGAGAAATCATCTGTGATCCTCACAGTCATGGGTCAACCTTGGCACCTTCCCACTACAAATCCAGTGTGTTGTCAAGGGTATGATTCAAGAACAGCATAATGGAAGAACTGGATAGGGCAGAGTTTATGGGAAGGATACCTCTGGGGAACTTCCATGCCTTGTCAGAGTGTGCTCTTCTCCTGGCTTATACATCTGCCCACCAACCTGGAAATGCCAATGTGTCATTTTTATTCAACTAGAACTTGCCAGGGTAGTTGCTAAGGTACTTGTTTTCCTAGCACAACAAATTTCATATTCACAATTAAAACATGTATAAATGACATTTTCGAGATTAGTGGTTTTAGTTAATAATATGAATTCAAATAGTTTTTGTAGGACAGTACCAGGCTTTTGTAATGTTATTGTTAAGAATCTGAAATCCCAGGAACAGGGTAATCATTTATTGATGGCCTTGTGTCCAAGGCAAGGTGCTCAGTAATAGGAGGAAGACATGAAACAGTGTGTACCATCTCTCATAGGGGCATGCACAAGATGCTCTGGAAATAGAGAGCTTCAGCTACTGAAGAGCTAGGAGTGGGAGGGTCAGGAGAGTGGGGAGATTTCCCACAGGTGGAACTGAGGGCAGACTGCATATGGGTGAGTCAAAATTAATTGTATGAGAAAAGTGGAGGAGGTTGCTTTCAACCACTGGTTCTCGAACCTTTATCTGTACATCAGAAACACTTTAAAGGGTTGTAAAAGCAGCTTGATGGTCTCTGCTCCCAGATTTCAGATTCTTAAATTCTGAGATGAGGCCTGGGAATTTGCATTTCTATCTGGTTTCCATGTAATACTTGTGCTAAAGAGAACCACCTTTAGAGAATGATGGTTTTATGAAAAAGTAGCAACTACTACTTGAGAACTGCTTGGCATGGGCACAACCCCTCTTTCACGGGGGTAGAAAAATAGCCCCACATACAAAATGCAGAGACATCAAAACTTGGTATATTCCAAAAACTAAAGTACATGTCCCTATAAGGATGTGCTGAGAGATTACACTGCAGAAATAAGCATGAGACAGATCAGAAGTACCTTACATAGCATAGTGTTTGGGTATTTCTGGAAGCAGTGAGGAACCATCTAAAAGAATTTTAAATAGGCATACTCAAGTAAGATGCTGGAAAATGTTCATACTCTGTTAGGATCCTTGCTCAGTTATTGAAACCAGTTTGCTTCCATTGACTTCGTCAAGTGAGAAGTTGGTCTTCTCCAATCAAGGAAGGTGTGCTGGAACTGTAGTGATAGTATAGTGGTTAGGGCATTTGCCTTGCACGTGGCCAAGCCAGATTTGATTCCCAGCACACCATACAATTCCCTAAGCACTGCCAGGAGTAATTCCTGAGTGCTGCGCCAGGAGTAACTCCTGAGCACCCCTGGGTTTGACCCCAAAACAACAAAACAAAAACAAATAAAATAAGGTGGGCTTCCATCATTACATGGGGCTTAAAAAACCCACTGTCATATGATGGCTGAAGGAGATACAGACAGGAGGAAGAGGGGAAAATGGCAGGGGTGGGTGGAATGTGTGCGTGTGAATGCTTTTTCTAACTGAAGCAGTCTTCTATAAAGAGGCGTCCTGGGGTCTAGTGGAGCCCCTGCTCTTGGCAGGGGAGATAGCACACGGCTAGTGTGACTTGAGGGTACTAACTAGACGAGATAGACAAGTAAATGCCACATACTTGTTTGACAAAGCATTCACTCTAGATAGGATATGTTGGTATCATTTTCTCTAGTTTTTAATTGCACATTTTATGACATTTATGGCATCTATACAGTTTTAAAATACAACAAATTGGGGCTGGAGCGATAGCACAGTAGGCTTGCACGCAGCTGACCCAGGTTCAATTCCCAGCATCCCATATGGTCCTCTGAGCACTGCTAGGAGTAATTCCTGAATGTAGAGCCAGGAGTAACCCCTGTGCGTCATCAGGTGTGACCCAAAAAGCAAAAAATAAAATAAAACAATTTTTTTTGCTATTTAAAACTCCAATTTAATAGGCAAACATTTTAAAGTTAAAGACTTAGAAATGGTAATTATATTTTGTGATTATAAATTATTATAAAATATAATTATAAAGTAGAATTTTATAATTGCACTTTTAAGTTACTTTCTTAGGAATAATGCTTGAAGTAAAATTACTGAGTAAAAATTATGACTATGACTATTATGTTTTTGATGCACATTTCCAAATAGGTTTTTTTTTGCTTTTTATTTTTTTGGTTTTTAATCATATCCAGCAGTGCTCAGGGCTTACTCCTTGCTCTGTGCTCAGGCAATGCTTGAGGAACCTTAATATGGAGTTGGGGATCAAATCCATGTCTGCCTCATTCAAGATAAGTGCCCTAGTGGCTGTGCTATCCTCTGGCCTGTCCGAATACGTTTTTAAAAGACTTGTGCCTTCTGGTAGAGGGATTGGTATTTGATCATTGTATAATTGAAACCCAAGCACAAAAATTTGTAAGTCTACAACTGTACCTCATGGTGTTTCACTAATAAAAATTTAAAAAAAAAAGGCTTGTGCCTTTTTGTTTTAGTTTTTGTGCCAAACCCAGCTGTACTCAGGGCTTACTCCTGGCTCAGGAATAGGAATCACTCCTGGCAACTAACTCTCTGGCTGTGCATTTCAGTTTTACTAATAATTAAAATATAGTAAGCAGTGGTAGCACTGTAGCACTGTCCACTGTCCTCCCGTTGTTCATCGATTTGCTCGAGCGGGCCCAGTAACATCTCCATTGTGAGACTTGTTGTTACTGTGAATATGAATATGAATACTTCACGGGTAGCTTGCCAGGCTTTCCCGTGCTGGCGAGATACTCTTGGTTGGTTTTTTTTTTTAATGTTAATGTATATATTAATTTTGTTTCCAGGCAGAAAGTGATTCTACTTTAACAGTTTAAAAATTTTTACAAAAAAAGGTTGACATCTTTTACACTTGTCCACAAATTATATGTGCTTTTTGGACAAAGCAGAGAGTTACTTCATGGTGTGTCCTATTGTGAAGGAAGGACTAAAGGAGGGAGAAACTAGTGGTAGGGAAAATATACAAGGAACTTCAGAGGAATAATGATGGAGACGAAGGAAAGATTATGGCAGTTGGAGCTCAGAGTCACAAGTTAGGAGACATAAGGGCAGAATCTAGAAATGCTTTGGAGATGGAATAAACATGCTCATAATTATAGAGACATGGGAAATTATGCCTACATTTATGACTTAGAAGAGCAGGTGTAGAATACTCTTACTAATGAGTAGAAATGGGAAGAAGAGATTACTTATTGGTTCATCTTAGCAGGAGAAGATAATTTCAACTAGAAGATCTTATCGACTCTTAGTTGAAAATGTAGGTTTGGAGTCAGGAAAAAATGATTATCAGGACAACTAGGAAGCAGGGTGATCAATCAAAAAAAAGGAAAAAGAACAAAATAATGTTCCTCAGGGACTTTCGGTGTATGGGAACAAGCAGAGGTGGAGAGGTAGTTAAGGAGACAGGAGGGACAAATCAGGGAAGCAATGATCGTAGTGGTTACAAGAATGAGTATTCGAATTACTGAAGTCTCAGTTTTAATACTGTTGATTTATTTGTGTTTTTAAAGCCATACCTGGTGATGCTCATGGGCTCTGCACTCAGGAATTACTCCTGGCAATGCTTGGGAAACCATATGTGGTCCTAGGGATCAAACCTGGGTTGGCTGCATGCAAGGCAAGTGCCCTACCCACTGTGCAATCTCTCTGCACCCTCGATCCTGACTCTCATTAGTATTATGACCATGGGCAAGTTATTTAATCTCTGTTGAACCTTTTGGAGACAATGAAATGTCTATTACATGATATTACTAGAGAAGTAGATGTAGGCAAAAAAAATTAGCTTGGTGACTGTCTTGATGGGTGTTTCTACTAGCTCAAAGTAATTAACAAGAGAAGAAGCATGAAGAATGCCTTGAAAGTCAAAGGAGAGAGAGAACTGTATTCACAAAGGACACACAGAGGTCTAGTAAGATTAGAATGCAAAGTGCTTATATTGGACAAATAGGCAGTTATTGATCACCAAGCTCGGTAAAAATATATTTGGCGAAATAGTGAGGACTGTTTTGGGTTATGGAGAGATTTGAAATCAACAGCTTCTTGAGCACTTCCAGCTAGAAAAAAATGGTCCCGTATTGTAGATATGACATATAACTTTCCCTAACTCCTTTACCAACCCACAAAATATCTCCATATTTGGGCCTTGAGTTGTATTGTTGTCCCTGATAATTGACATTTTTTAAAGCATGTAACATGTCTTGAAGTGGTACATGCTCTAGATGTAATCTAATTCAATTCTGGTTTTTGTTATTCTAGAGTTAGACAGAGTTAAAATCAGTTGAAATAAATAATTCTTAGCCTCAAGGGCTTTATGTCACTGCAGGAAGATGTTTAAATTCGGTGTTTACTGCTCTTTCAGTTTGCTCAGACCGTTCTGGAGTGTGCTTAGTCTTTGTATTACTTGTTTTATTGCTACTATTTCATAATTTATTGACTCTTCAGTCCTTGACAAAAACAATTTGTGAATTTTTATAAAACCCAGATTTTGGTCACTTTTGAGACACATCACATTCTCTTTTAGGGAATGCTACTTTTTATTAACCAAATGAATTATTCTCTGTAACAGTGAAGAATGTGGAGACTGGTCGAAGTGTCCCAGGAGTGAAGATGTTTTTTGGGCATGAGATTGTAAATGGTAAGTGCTGACATCCCTGATTGCTGGTGGTTGTAGTAATCAACTTGCAGCTCTGCATTATTCCAATATTTGAAATAAAACTAGATGTCATCTTGCCTTTAATATGGCATTTATTTAAAAAATATGGAATTTGTCTGAGTTTTATTTATTTTAAGTATCTTCCTCAGAGGCTAAGAGATAGTACAGGGGTTAATGTGCTTACTCTTGCACATGGCCTGGCCTATGGTCCCCCAAGCTCCTTCAGGATGACCCCAGAACACGCAGGGTATCACCCCAAATCCTTTCTTTCATACAATAAAATGTATATCTAAGAATCAGTAATACATTTTTCTATACTGTTAGAGTAAAAGCAAATAGATTCAGAATCGCTGTGGAATGTTTGGCCAAATTTCCTTTGTGATTTCCAGTTGAACTTTTCAAGTCACTAAACTATTCATGCACCAGCTCATGCAATTGGAAGGGATGTAGCTGCAACTGATGTAAGAGAAGACTCCAAACAGTACATAGTATGAGGGAAGGAAATCAAAGAAAATAAAAAGATTTACCTAGAATCTGAATGACCCCAGAACAAAAAGGAAAAAGGGAACACATGGAGAGTCCTTGTCTTGCTCAATTACCAAGACTGTTGCGTGTAGGGGCTGTGGACAGAGTACTGTGGGTAAGGCACTTGCCTTGCACATGGTTAATTTGTGCACGTAGCGGGTAAGGCGTTTTGCCTTGCACATAGTCAACATGGCCAACCCGAGTTCGATTCCTTTGCCCCTCTCGGAGAGCCTGGCAAGCTACCGAGAGTATCTTGCCCGCACAGCAGAGCCTGGCAAGCTACCTGTGACGTACTCGATATGCCAAAAACAGTAACAACAAGTCTCACAATTTGGTGTGAGATGTTATGGTACTCGCTCGAGCAAATCGATGAACAACAGGACAGTGCTACAGTGCTCTTTAGTTCCCTGAGCAGTGCCAGGGGTGATTCCTGAACATAGAGCCAGGAGTAAGCCCTGAACACTGCCAGGTGTGCCGTGTCCCCCCCTTCCCAATGTTACAAGCAAATACAATATTAGGTATCTTCCGTTCTCTGGGTAATCTGTTTGATTTTGGTTTGGGGCCATACTTGATAGTGCACAGTGGCTACTCCCAGCTCTGTGCTCAGGAGTTACTCCTTGTGGTACTTGAGGGACCATGCAGTTTCAGCTTCCAATATGTAAACCATGAACCCTGGAGAGTCTTTTTTTTTTTTTTAATTCTATTTATAATGAACTAATGTAGGCCTCTTTGGACTAGTTTTTCATTTCCAATTACTGTTTGAGGTACATAGTCAAACTATGGGTGGATGTGGGGAAGAGGAAGAGATGGATAGTTGCTTTAAAGACTTAAAACTATTGGAAGCCATGTGATTATTTTACAGTGGAGTTACTAGATGAAGAGGAACAAGTGAGAGAAAAGGCATCTTCTGTCAGGTATGATGGAATAAGTTTTTCCACTGTGATATTGCCCCGATGTCCACATTATTAGGGCAAAGAGCTTTTACTCTAATTCACTAGCTTCATAATTTCTAAAATAACTGGAGGTGTTAAAAATGGGGAGGGATAGATGGATAGAGATAGAAAAAAATCTTCCTTCTTCAGATGGTACCGTTAAATCAGTCTCAGCAGTGGGTCTGTGGGTCCTTTGTTAAATTGGAAAACCAGAGCCTTTGGTATTGATATGGCAAATTTTATGTATTGCAATAGCTGCAAAGAACAAATTTACACAAATCTTGTTTTGTACACATAGTTTAAAGACAGAAAAAACCAGGATCGAGAAAGTGAAAAATGACCAAAATGTTTGTCAGTCTGCTTCTCCTGCCCCAGAGAAACCTATCACATCTCTACTGAATGATCTTAAATATAGTCCATCTGGTGAGTACTGGCGGCCTGGATTTTCTTGCTGGAAAGAGAGTCAGGCCTGGGGTTGGGGAGGGACAGGGGGAATGGTGCTTGTCTTGGTTAGATCCCTGGCACCACCCCTGAGCACCTCTTGGAGTGAGCCTTGAGCAAGAGCCAAGAGTAGCCCTTGAGAACCACTGGGTTCCTCCCGCCCCCCCACCAAAACTCAGACTCCACGCCAAGGCTCTGAGTTCTCTTAGTTTTCTTTCTTGTAGCTTCAGAGTTGATATAATCCTGAGTTAAGTCCTATTGCCAGTTCTTAGACCATTGCCCCAAGGCTTTGGATTTAAAAATATATAATGTATTTGTTTATTTCATATCCATGTGTGCACTATATACCTGACATTGGAAACATAGACGTGTGGCATCTCTATACTCATTGAGCTTTTGTGCAGGAAACGGATGCTAAAGAAGATACATGAGAATAGGGCTGGAGTAATAGTGCAGTGAGTAAGGCATTTGCCTTGCACATGACCATCCAGGTTCAATCCCCAGCTTCCCATATGATCCCCGAGCACCGCCAGGAGCAATACTTGAGTGCAGAGCCAAGAGCAACCCCTGGGTATCGCCAGGCCAAAAGAAAATAGGTACATGAATACAGTAGATAGTATTCTAGTGATAAATGATAAGAGAAAAAGAATAAAAGAGAAGTATGTGGAGAGATGGTTGGTATCCAGTACAAGCATTACTGAAACAGAAAGCTCTCGGTGAAGGCTGTATGGAATAAAGGGATTGAGGCCTGCAGATTTGTAGAAGAAATGTTTCTTTAGGGAAAGAGGAAATGCAAAGGCCCTCACTAGGACAGTGATAGTCGCAAGTGATCACTCTGGACAAGAACTGAGTGCTGAAAGGAGGTAAAGGGATACACATGATACCCTTTTGGTATTGGTATTGCAAGCCATAATGCCCAGAAGGGAGGGAGAAAGAACAAGAGAACAAATGAGAGGGAGAGAGAAAGTGTCTGCCATAGAGGCAGAATGGGAGGAGGAGGGAATAAGCAGGAGGGAAACTGGGGACATTTGTGGTGGCAAATGTACACTGTGGAGGAATGGATGTCAGAACACTATATGACTGAAACCCAATCATGAACAATTTTGTAACTATCTCACAGTGGATTAAATTTTTTTAAAAAATATACAAAGATAGAGATTTGAGATTTGCAGAATCTTTAAGGACCAGCAGGAAATCAGTATAGCTGGAGCAAGGAGAAAAGTGTTGTAGGAGAGAAAACAGGGTGAGTGGATTGAGGTATTTGTAGATAGTTGAAGAAACTTCAGCTTGTACTCTGAAGTGAGAAGAGAAGCCTGTGGAATGGTGTTTGGTTTTATCCTTTTCCTAATGGCTTAGGGTATTAAGGATCCTCACCCATGTATTTAGTCATATCTGAATATATTTGGTGAAATATTATATTTTTTTCTTATAGAATTATTTTTTGTTCTTGTTATTGTTTTGGGGCCACATCCAGTGATGCTCAGGGGTTACTCCTGGCTCTCCGCTCAGAAATTACTCTTGATGGTTCTTGGGGGTCCATATGGGATGTCAGGAATTGAACCTGGGTGAGCTGTGTATAAGGCTAGCACCCTACCCACAATACTATCACTCCAGCTAATATCTGGCAGTACTCAGGGCTTACTCCAGGCTCTGTGCTCAGGAATTACTCCTGGCTGTTCTTGGCAGACCGTGTTGGCAATATGCAAGGCAAGGGCCCTACCCACTGTAGTATCTCTCCAGCTCCATATATTTTCTCAAAGTCTGTGGTTTGCTCCCTCCCTCCCTCCCTCCCTCCCTCCCTCCCTCCCTCCCTCCCTCCCTTCCTTCCTTCCTTCCTTCCTTCCTTCCTTCCTTCCTTCCTTCCTTCCTTCCCTCTGGGTCTCCCTCCATCCCTCCTTTTTGCCTTCCTCCCTCCCTCCTTCCCTCCTTCCCTCCTTCCCTTCCTTCTTTCCTTCCAAACCCTTGCAAGACTTGTGCTCCAACATCAAGCTATATCCTTGCCCTGCTTTGTGATTTTTCTCTTTAAGAGCAGACATTTCCAATTTTGCTGAGAAAATTTTATCCATTTTTTTCTTTTATAGATTGTGCTCTTGATGTGATGTCTAAGAAAAAATTTCTTTTTTAAAATTAAATTTAATTTTCTGTTTGCTTGTTTTTGAACCATACCCAGCTGTGCTCAGGACTTACTCCTGGATCTGGACTCAGGGATAAGTCCTGATGGGAATTATGGGACCATATGGGGTGCTGGGGACCAAATCCTGGTCGGGTGAGTGTGTGCAGGCAACATCCTACCTGCTGTACTGTCTCTTTATCCTCTACAAGTCCTATTTTAAACTGTTTCGGGGTTTTTTTTTTTTGTTTTTTTTTTTTTTTGCTTTTTGAGTCACACCCAGCGACGCACAGGAGTTACTCCTGGTTCATGCACTCAGGAATTACTCCTGGCAGTGCTCAGGAGGATCATATGGGATGCTGGGAATCGAACCTAGGTCGGCTGCGCGCAAGGCAAACACCCTACCTGCTGTGCTATTGCTCCAGCCCCAAACTGTTTCGGTTTTGATGGGGGAATAGTCCTACCAGTGTCAGGGGGTTCAAATCGGGCTGGGGAGTGAACCCAGGATGCCCACATGCAAAGCCTGTATTCTAGTTCTTTGGGCATCTTCCCAGTCCAAATTCTCCTTTCTTTCATTAGAACATGCTTTCAAAAGTTCAAGTTTCCTTTCTTTCATGACCCAAAAGAGGGACATTTTACTGAATTATCACAGGAAAGGAATATGTCATCTAATAAAATGATCCGGGGGCTCTGTTGTTTACACTCGTTTGACACACCGGTGCTCATAGTGCTCCCTGTGAGCAGGTCTGATGAGAAGGTGATGAAATGGCATCGGACACTTGCATTGCAGCAGAGCAGGAGTTTATGGGTGTGACTAGAGTATTGGGAGAGTGATTCTACTCACATGGGAGAGGAATACAGCTAATGCCATCTTTCTCTGATAGAGGAAGAAGAGGTAACCTACACAGTCATCGATCAGTTCCAACAAAAGTTTGGTGCCGCAGTAAGTAGGCCTCCATCCTTCTCAGTATTACTTCTCTATGGATATCATAATCGTGTCTCCTAGATCTCAGTTAACACCTATAGGACCAGCATGGTGTTCCTGAGTAACAGCTACTTCAGTCCCGAGTAATTTCAAATAAACCTAAGGTTCTAAGGAACTGTTGAGGCCTTGCTTGTAATTCTTTCTGTTGTTGTTTGGGCCACATCCAGCATTGCTCAGGGGTTACTTCTGGCTCTGCATTCAGGAATCACTCTTGAGGTACCCAGGGGACCATATGGGATGCTGGGGATCGGACCCGGGTTAGCTGCATGCCAGGCAAGCACTCTACCGCCTGTAGTATCACTTCAGTCCCCTGCTTGTCATTTTGAGCTATGGGTACTGAGAGACTCAGCATTGTGAATACCTTTCAGACACGGTGATGTGCCCTGTGTGGGGACACTGTTCTGTGCGTGAGGACCCCAGTCATGAAGACAGGAAGTCTTTCACCGCAGCATCACTGGTCACAAAAACTGTCTGGGTTTTCAGTGCTCATTAGTGTTTGGGATAGGAATGATTTATTTTTTATGTAGGAAATAATTTTGTGTAAACTGAACAGAGAATCAGAGGTATTTAGTGTGGCTGAGCACTTTTATTATTTTTTGCATATGTGAGGTCCTGGGTTCAATCCCCTGCACTGCAGGAAAGAAAAAAAAATGGTGTTCAGTGTTATATGACGCCAACTCTAAAGTTTTGCATTAGTCATATTTTGTAAGTTTAAAACATATGTGGATTGGAGAGATATTTGCCTTGGTGCAGCCAAATTCAGATCAATTCCTGGCACCATATATGGTTCCCTGAGCACCACCAGAGGTCATTCCTGAGCATAGACCTAGGATAAGCCCTGAGCATGGCCGAGTATGCCCCCACTTCCCACCCAACCCCACATATACACATATATATGTATGGGGTGTGTGTGTGTGTGTATATATATATATATATATATATATATATATATATCACTTTGCTTTTTTTGCTAGCCATTTTACTTGTTCTATTCATGAGGTTATAATTACATTTATCCCCAAAGATTTTCTTTCTTTCTTTTCTCACCAGATGCTCCACATTAAGAAGCAGAGTGTCCTGAGCGTGGCAGCTGAAGGAGCCAGTGTGTGTCGGCATGGGAAACTCTGTTGGCTTCAGGTAAAGGATGGTTTTGGTTTTGGTTCTTGGGCCACACCTGGCAATGCTGTTTCTTCTGTCTCTGTGCTCAATGATCACTCCTGGAAGAGCTTGAGGTACCCTATGGAGTGCTGCATGCAAAACTTGCCTTTCCTGCCCTGTCCACCGTACTCTCCAACTGCTATAGGGTATTTTTTGTTTTGTTTTGTTATGGTTTTTTTGTTTTTGTTTTTTTTTGCTTTTTGGGTCACACCTGGCATTGTACAGGGATTGCTCCTGGCTCTACACTCAGGAACCACTCCTGGTGGTGCTCAGGTGACCATATGGGATGCTGGGAATTGAACCCAGGTCGACTACGTGCAAGGCAAATGCCCTATCCGCTGCACTATTGCTCCAGCCCCTATAGGGTGATTTTTGAAAAAAAAGCTTTTGGTATTAAAAGCTTTGTAGTTTCCCTCATAGATTTACTTTAATTTTCTTTAAATCCCCTCACCACAGTGTCGATCTTAAAACTTGTTTGATTGGCTTTCCCTTTCTTAGAAGATTTTTTTAATTTTCCAAAGGGAAAGAGCTGCCTTCTTGGGACTGGAGTGATAGCACAGCAGGTAGGGCATTTGCCTTGCATGCGGTCTACCCGGGTTCGAGTCCCAGCATCCCATATGGTCCCCTGAGTACTGCCAGGAGTAATTCCTGAGTGCAGAGCCAGGAGTAACCCCTGAGCATCACCGGGTGTGACCCAAAAAGCAAAAAAAAAAAAGAGCTGCCTCCTTATAGAGTCGCTCTAAGAGATGCCAGGTGTTAAGCTCAGCCCCCATGGCTCTGTTGTTTGTGACTGACAGTGCCACTGTTTGTGCAAATTATTTTCAATCACTCTGCAGCCAGATATATGCTAGAATCTCAGCTAAAGGGTGTGGCCTTGCCACCCCTCAAGAGCATGGCTAAGAAATGCAACTCCTGGTGAGCATGTGTGCAAGCACTCCAACTAAAGGAGTACAGCAGCCCAGTAAGCACTGCGACTCTGTGTGTGGCCCAAAGCAAATAGCACAACTCTGTGTGTGTGTGTGATCCAGGTCATCAAAGCATCAACAGAGAGAAAGGAAGAGGGAAGATAAGTACATTTCAAAAAATAATAATAAATATCAAAGAAATCTAAAAAAGCAGGGTTTCCCTCTTCACATTTGTGCCTGTGTTATTTGTTGTCCCTTTAAACTGCTAGATGGTAGGGATCTTACCAGTAATTTTATGTAATACCTCACACAATCAGGCATATGATGGAACTCAGAGATAGCATTTCCTGTTATCAGCACTGAAATGCCTTTTAGTCCCTCTAAGCCTGTAATTCCTGAAGAATCAGAATGCTGTTGTGAGAGTGGAAAAATAGCATGAAACTTGGAAACATGAGAAAGTGAAGGACCAAATTACCAGCTTGGCTTTATGCTCTTGTTTGAGAACCACACTGACAGTCTTTTTTGAAGATTTAGATCAATTCCAGTATGCTTGCCCTATGAATGATTGCCTACTATTTTATATTTTTGTTTTCTGGGTTACATCTGGTGATGCTCATGGATCACTCCTGGCAGGCTCAGGGAACCATATCAGGTGCCGAGGATCAAACCTGGGTTGGCTGTGTGTAACATAAGCGCCCTACCCACTGGACCATTGTTCCAGCCTCTTATTGCCTTCTTTATTTATTTATTTCAATTTAATTTTAAATTTTAATATTTATGAATTTGTTCACAATAATTTATTACATTTAATATTCCAACACCAATTCTACCACCATGAATGTTTTTACCCCAACCTCCAAAGCCTCCAGAGCCTGAGCCTGCCCCCAAATCAGGACCTGGGCACCAGTAGCATCTCCATTGTGAGACTTGTTACTATTTTTGGCATATCAAATACGCCATGGGTAGCTTGCCAGGCTCTGCCATGCAGGCAGGATACCTCGGTAGCTTGCCGGGCTCTCCAAGAGGAACAGAGGAATCAAACCCGAGTCGGCCACGTGCAAAATGCCCTACCCACTGTGCTATCTCTCCAGCCCAAAAAAGGACCTAAATAATTTATTTTGTATTGCTTATTATGAATAATCCACTGAAAATGATACAAAAAGTTTCCTTAAAGGGAAGTGTGTGAAGATTGTTGTATTTCACTCAGGAGCCATTGATCTTGGTACTTGTATTGGTACATCAGTGTTGTAGAGTATGAGATGTCACGCAGCCATAAATGCCACCATGCACTCCAATAATTCCAAAATTTTAAATATGGTGATACAGTACAGCTGAGGTTAATTGATTTTTTTTTTTACTAGACTTTGGGGTCCGGAGGCATCTCTGAAGCATGTTGCACTCTTCAGAGAGGTTTATGTGAGTCTCTGGGTCATGGCCATTAATGATCTCATATAATGCCAGAGGCAGTTTGTGGGTATGACTGCCAGGCAGGAAGCACAGAGAGTTGGGGGAAATGTTGCCCATTCCTGACTCCGTGCGAGCCTGGAGATTTTGATCACAAGTCCCGCATACCTAGGTTTTTCAGGAGATTCGCTCATGGGTGAAGCTCGTCTGAGTCTGTGGAAGTCAGCCAAGAGCATGGCAGTGATTGAGTTCTGGAGGTTTTCAGCTGCCTGGGCTCTCTTGGGACAGATGGGGGAACTCCCCGCCTGACTCTGGGTTGCCCTGGATGAGACTGCCTGGCGTGGAATACAGAGACATCTTTTATTGCCTACTTTAAATGTCAGCAATTTAAAGGTTTTAGCACATCCTCTTTGATCCTGAGGACCCTTTTGAGCTTAATCCTCCTCCTCCTCTACCACGCTTGTCTCTATGGTCTTTCACAGGTGGCCACCAATAGCCGGGTTTACTTATTTGACATTTTCCTTTTGGGAAGTCGTGCTTTCAACAATGGACTTCAGATGGTATTAGAAGATAAAAGAATTCTAAAGGTGAGTGTGTGAGCTTATTCCTCTATTAATAAGATCTACAACTGTGTTCTAACACTGTGTTTATCTTCTGATTTAGGTTATACATGACTGCCGTTGGCTTTCCGATTGCCTCTCTCATCAGTATGGAATTTTGCTGAATAATGTTTTTGACACACAGGTACATGGAAGAAAACTGGATTTGAATCAGGGTACCTGGAGCTGTAGAAAACACGCTTCATCTTATGAGTGATTGAAATCTTTCCTTTGGGGGTTCTCAAATTCTGCCCATTTTGCTAGTAAGATTTTTGTAAAATGGGAGTACACTTTGTGAACCATGAAAGCTGTTCAGAAAAACTATTTACTAGTCTGAACCTCCCCCAGTCCCCCCCTCCCAATTCAGCTCTGGACTTTGTCACATGAAAAGAACCATACTTGATAGCAGTGGTTTTCAGTTGCCAGTGCTCAGGCTGCTGCTGAACCACAGGTATATTTAGAAGGCTGATATGACACTTAGTGTAAGAGGAACAGTAGCATGTTATGGTTGAGGTACACATATGATACATGTACATGTTCGGTAAAGCTAGTGGCTAGTTTGACATCTAGTTTAAGGATGCAGGTTGCTGTTGATATGCCCAAAAATCTTATTCTTGTCCCCCAAATAGCTGAAGTCATTTGCCTCTTACCTATAGAAGCCTAAAGAAACGAGCCTACTCTAAACTATAGTAGCTATTAAAGATGATCTGGCTTTCTGGGTTAGCCATGAGAACAGTGAAACAACTAGTCTTCGTTAGGTTTTTCTTTAGGTTTTTCTAGTCATCTATGTTCTTCTTGATATATTTAGTGAATTTGCTTCTAATATCCATTTTTAATTTACTTTGTGAGTGGTTTGAGATAGGAGTCCCATTTCCTTCCTCCCGTCTGACCAGTTTTTTTACAGTAACCATTTGTTAAAGAGGCCTTCTTTGCTTTACCTAATACCTAGCTCCCACGAATGAATGAACTGTCCCAATATCTGAGAGTCTATCTCTGGACTTTAATTCTATTCCATTCGTCTGTGAGTCTGTCTTTATTCCAGTTCTTCAGTCCATTGACTTCTGATTGAAATTTTCTCATACTTTCATACTTTGTCTTTTCTTGTGGGAAGTAACTGCCATTGTCCTCAATTGATGTATTGATCATCCTTCCCATTGACTTTCTCATGAAGACTTTGAAGTCTTCATCAGGGACATGAGAGAGAGCTGTTCTGTGCGTAGGGCTTCTTTCTGAACTTTTATCTTTCTTCGCTAATGCAAACCAAATCCTCTGCTTCTTCATTATGTTTGGAGCAGTGCAAGGGCTAAGAGTCTGAGTTTCTGCAGGCCTGGGTGACAGTTTCCTCATCTACCCAGAAACTGGTGTTGAGTTTATTGTTTGTGATGACCTGCTCTAGTGCTCTGCAGTTAACAAGCTTCAGCCGCATAAGTCTTAGGTATGGATCCCTAAGAATGGACAGACATTCTACCATTCTACAGCCCAGAGTTTGCTGAACTATGGCTTTGGTGTCACTCTCCCGTGAATTTGGGTTGCAAACAGGGATTTGTGGCCAGGAGTGTCTAAGTGGAGCTGTAAACTCCTAGCAGCCCAGAGAATTTGTACTTGCCTGGCTTGGCTGTTTGTCAGGCTCACTTTGCCTGGAATCATCCATTAGTTTAACCCCAAGTTCAGACAAGCCTGAACTCTTGCCCGGTGTTCAGTTGTTCAAATAAAAAGCAGACAGTGATTTTCTGCTGCTCGCTTCAGGCATTCTTCCTCAGGGCCTGGAGTGATAGCACAGTGGGTAGGGCGTTTGCCTTGCACGTGGCCGACTCAGGTTCGATTCCCAGCATCCCATATGGCCCCCTGGGCACCGCCAGGAGTAATTCCTGAGAGCATGAGCCAGGAGTGACCCCTGTGCATTGCCAGGTGTGACCCAAAAAGAAAAAAAATGGCATTCTTCCTCAGCCTGTTTCAGATTGGGGCTGCTTTCATTTCAGCCCAGGCAGGCAGGGCTCACCCAATCCTGTTAGCTTGGAAGGGCAGAACTTGCCTGTGGGATGCTGCCCATAGATGAGTGCTCCCTGCAGGCTCCCTGCTGAGGCTGCTGATGTTTACCTGCTGCACCTGCTGTGATCCCCTGACCTAGCCAAGTTGTTGCCTCTAGCTCAGGTTTTGTGAGGGTAGAGTTTGAAAGGGTAAGGCCGAGTCTTTTGGCTCTCCACTTCCTCTTTCCCCAACCCCCATGGGGCCTGTTAGCAGTTCCAGTGGCCTCTCAACTCTGAGCATGGCCACTACTCCTGTTCCGGCAGTCACTGAGCATGCCATAAACTTTCTCAGCATGCCTGGAGGGTTCTGTGTTTAACTTTTGTGATGTTTGTTTGTTTGTTTGTTTGTTTTGTTTGGGGGCCACACCCAGCAGTGCTCAGGGCTTGCTCCTGGCTCTGAGCTTAGGGATCACTCCTGGTGGACCAGGGTGCTTGGTGCTGGGTGCTGGGTGCTGGTGATCGAACATAGGTCGACTGTGTGCTGGGGATCGAACTGTGTGCTGGGGATCAAAGATAGGTTGACTGTGTGTAAGTACCACTCTGCTACTGCTCTGGCTCCTGATTCCTATTTTTTAATGTGGCTTTGCTGAGGGATTCTAGGAATACTCTCAGATTATTTCCCACATTGCTCTTTAGGTATCAGCTTATAATGAGCTTTGTGCCACTTTTCTTGTTCACATGTCCTAGTTCCTCTGTACATCTTTCAGGCTCTTTCATGACACAGGTGTCTTTGAGAGTTCAGGGTGTTAGAAGAGTGGCTTGTTGTGCCCTGAAGGATTCTTGATTAGACCCCAGTTATATTGTCTAACGAAGCCATTAGCATATCCTCCCATACTATTCCTTTTATCTCTCCATAGTGAAAACCCCAGGAACTTTGAATTTTACTTTACTTTTAACAAATTGTATTAGTCTCCCCCATGCCTCCTCCCACTATTGCTATTGTAATAAACCAATACAAATGGAGTGCCTTAAAAAAACACAGATTTATACTCTTACTCTTCTCATTAGGTTGGTCAGTGACAACAGGGCTGGTTTCTCCCAGAGACTAGAAGGAGACTTTTCAGCTGCTGGGGCCTGACTTCTCTTGCAGCTTCTCTTTTCAGAGTGCCCCACTCCCATCTCTGCTCTCCTACCCGCGTCGCCTTCTGGTCACAGTAAAACCCTCCTCTGCTCCCTCATAGAGGAGCATTTGTGATGTGGTTCAGGGGCACATCTCAGAGGTGGGAAGCCCTGCTTCAACCCCTGCTAACCCCAACACCAGACACAGTAAAACTGCTTGTGATTACATTTAGGGTCCAGCCAGATCTTTCAAATTAATCTTCCTAGCTCAGGATCACGACGATCATGACCATCCTATTGTTCATTGATTGCCTCGAGCGGGCCCCAGTAACGTCTCCTTCATCCTAGCCCTGAGATTTTTTAAAAAGTGCCATATTCAAGGCTCTTTCAGGGTTAGGAGAATGAGACCCATCATTGTTACTGGTATTTGGCATATTTGGTACACCACGGGGAGTTTGCCACACTCTGCCGTGTGGGCAGTTTACATACAGTAGCCTGCCAGTTTGTCCAAAGTAAGAATGAGATAATAGGATGTCTCGCGGCCGCATTTGCGGCTGCACGCTTCCAGGAGCTGGGTTTTATAGTCGCTAGGTCTTGGCCATTGATGGGATTACATGGGGCCAGGGGGCCAGTTGGTGGGTGTGACACCTGCCTACTGGAATATGGAGGATCTGGGTGGAGGATGCTCAGCCCCGATCCGAGCAGGCTTGGAGATCTCAGCCCCAGGACCCGCATGCCTTTGTTCCTCTGCCAGTACCTTCATGCGTGTGGAGAGAGGTCTCAGCATGGTGGTGGCTGGTTCTGGAGGTCTTCGGCTGCCGGAGCCCTCATCAGGGCGGGGAGGGAAACTCAACCCGCTGCCCTCCAAGGGGCCCCTGGCTGTCCTCGCCTAGCTCAGAATGCTCCACTTAATCACCAGTACAAGTGTATTTACATATAACGGGGTTCCGGGGTTAGGACACAGGTGTCTCTGGGGGCCTTTGTTCAGCCTACTGCACACAGATAATCCAGTCTTTATTGTATTTTTCCAAAGTTTTTCCAAGACTTTGCTGGAGTTACTATTAATCCAGATTGTTGAATTTTATTCTTTTCCTACTTTCAAAAGGCACAAAGAATAATAGCCAGTCATAAAGTAGGCAAATTTAGAAAGTGGAAAACTGTATAAGATATATTAAAGTTGGTGATCTTTTGCCATTTCTCTAATCTTTCAAAATTTGAACATTAAAATTTTCTCTTTTTTCCCTTCCTTTTCCCCTTTTTCTTTCTTCCTGCCCCTTTTTCCTGTGGACCCCGTGATCAAACACAGGTGTGTGCTCTGCAGAGCTACTCCCCACCCCAGCAGCCTCTTTTTTGTTGTTGTTTTTTTCATAACTAGAGATTGAACCATTAACCTTTCATGTGGTGGCCTGGATAGTGGCACATTGTGTGGCTCTTGGTGGCAGTGTCACCAGGATTACTCTTGGAAATGTGGGGCACTGTTGGGGATCAAATTCACAGCCTCTTTTTTTGCAAGATGGGTGTTGTACTAAGAAACCACATCCTTGAGCCCCAACTTAAGTTTTCTTTTCTTTTTTATTTTATTTTTTTATTTTAATGAATCATCATGAGATACATTTACAGACTTACAGACTTTCATGATTGCTTTCAAACAATGTTCAAGTACCCATCCCTTCACCAGTGCCCATTCTCCAACCCCAATTTTTCCAATATTCCTCCCCCCACCCCCACCCCTTCCCACCTCCTGCCTCTGTAGCAAACATAATCCTTCTTACTCTCTTTGTTTTTTTTTTTTGGGGGGGGTGTTATGGTTTGCAGTATAGGAAACAAGCAGCCATCATGTTTGGTCCATAGTCTACTTTCAATATGCATCTATTATCCTGAGCGATCCTTCCAACCATCCTTTATTTAGTGCTCCTTTCTCCATCCCAGCTTCCTTTTCCCCCCCCCCGACACATGATTCTTTTGTTTTGTTTTGTTTTGTTTCTGCGCCACACCCAGTGGTCCTGAGGGCTTACTCCTGGCTCTACACTCAGAAATCACTCCTAATGGTGCTCAGAGCAACATATGGGATGTCAGATCGAACTCAGGTCGGCTGCGTGTAAGTCAAGCACCCTACCCGCTGTACCATCTCTCCAGCCTCCCAACTTAAGTTTCCTTGATGGAAATTCTGCATCATGAGGGTTCTTGGGATAAATGATAGACATTTCTCTAAATATATTTATGTAATTGGCTGGGGAGATGGCTCAGAGAGTGGTATAACACATGCCCTGCATGTGTAGAACCCTAAATTTGATCCCTGTTGCCACATATCACCCATAGTACCACTGAGTGTGTTCTGGGTAGCCCCAGTATTGCTGGGCCTGGGCAGAATCAGGCGTGAGCACCAAAACAGTGGGCTCTGCCAGGCTAAGCAGCACTGGGAATGGCCTTCCAAGCCCTTGAGCATTACTGAGGTGCCCCTATCAAAATAGACTAAGTATACTTTTTTTTTTTTTACTCATTTTTGCCATGAGCTAGTTCTCTATATTCTTCAGACTGACTTGTTTGGTTTTTGTTAATGCCACAGGTCGCAGATGTCCTTCAATTTTCCATGGAAACAGGTGGCTTTCTCCCAAATTGCATCAGTACCTTGCAGGAGAGCTTAATCAGACACCTTAAAGTAGCCCCTAAATATCTCTCCTTCCTGGAAGAAAGACAAAATCTGATTCAGGTGAGTATTAGTGGATAGCATATGTGACGCTTGTTTTTCAAGTCACCAGGCTTTATATCAAGAAACAACTGCCCATGTAAGTATATGAGTATTTCCAAAATCTGACTTATTTCCAATGGGAACAGTTTGTTTATAGATTCATTGCTTAAATCCAGGCTCCAGATTGGGTTGGTTATCAATTAAAAAGTGCTCTGACGGTGTGGGTGGGATGTAGTTCAGTGTTAGATTTTATGCGCCTCATGTGTGAAGCTCTGGATTTGATTCCAGCACCAAAAAAAGAAGCAACAAAAAAGACACCAAAATAAATCTTCTAGTGAAAGAAGGGGAGATTTAGTTGGGACATATGATTCAAGCTGTAGAATAAAAATCATCCCCAATTATTTTTCATGCGTGAAGGCTTATTTCACTCATTTCCCGATGGGTTCGCTTACATCAGGACCATATGGTTACAGTTTTGGCCATGTAGACAAGTCTTTTGCCTCCAGATTTCCCCCCCTGGCTGAGGAAACTGGTTGGGCAAGTGCTTCAAGCCACAAAGCCACTTTTCAGACCCTCTCACTGGGCACCACAAACCCTAGTACGGCCCTGATCACCCCGAGCATGTGGCAGCTCTGGGGATTGAGCTCACGACTTTGCACTTGCCAGATAAATAAAGGCTGTATGCCACAGAACAATTTTCTGGGACCTGCCTTCGTTTTTAATGAGAAATATTAATCTCTGTATCTCAGTTCCTCTCTGTCTCCCTGTGCTTCTCTGTCTTGCTCTCTCTGTCTCCCTCCCTGTCCTTCTCTGTCTTTGTTTCTCTGCCACTCTCCCATTTCCCCTCCTTCCTTTTCTCTCCTCTTCCTGTATTATATACACCCACTCAGTAACCACACAGAGTGTCTTTGGTTTGTGTGTGTGTGTGTTGTATTCTCAGAAGGCTAAGTCTTCTAGGGTTAAACTTACCGTGGATGAAAATGACAATAACAGAAGGGCAGGAGGGATAATACAGTAATTAGAGCGCTTGCCTTTCATGCCAGCCAATGACTTATTGGTTCAATCCCCAGCATCCCATGTGGTTACTCAACTACCATCATGAGTAATTCCTGGGTGCAGAGCCAGGAGTAACTCCTGAGCGTTGCCAGGTGTTGCCAAAATTAAAAAAAAAAGAAAGATATTAACAAAAATAGTCTTTTAACTTAAGCAGGATTTGAAGTTACCTACCTTCTTTAACATTCTGCCTCCTATACCATTATTTTGCTGTCTAGGAAAATCCTGAGGTGTGGTTCACACGACCTCTTTCACCTTCATTGCTGAAAATTTTGGCCCTGGAAGCTACCTACCTGCTTCCCCTTCGCCTGGTGCTCCTGGATGCAATGATGTCCGACCTGACCACCCTGGTGGACGGCTACCTGAACACCTACCGCGAAGGCCCCGCCGAACGCCTCGGGGTCACAGAGGTAGGCAGTGGTGGGTCCAGGGTTGGCTTCTGCCTCTCAGTGAAGCCCCACATTCATGACTGCAGATTGCACCAACTTGGTGATGAATAAGTTAAAGTTTCACTCCATCTCCATATGCCCTTTTTCACAATATTGATTTATGTTTTCAAGAATGTTTCTGTCAAAGAATGGGTGAATTTCGGATTTTGTTAGTTGCTTTCTAAAGCCAACACCATACAAGAACATAGTAGAACAGAATTAATAGCTAGAACCTTGCCCACAACCTGGTTCTTTGAGGTTTTTTTTTGTATTGGTTCTAGAAATCCATCCCAGGGCCTCATACATGCAAGGTTGGTGCTCTACCTCTGAGCCACATTCCCAGCCACCACAGCTTTTGTTTTTTGGGAGGTCAAAGCCACCAGTGCTCAGGGTTCTGTGCTCAGGGATCATTCCTGGTGAGCTTGGGGAACTGTATGTGGTGCTGGTGATCCTACCCAGATTGTTCACTTGCAAGGACAGCACCTTACCCGGTGCATTATCACTCCAGCCTACTTTTTTTTTTTATTTGATGTTTTGGGGGCCATACCTGTGGTGCTCAGGGGTTACTCCTGGCTCTGCACTCACTATTTTTTTTCTGCTTTTTGGGTTACACCGGCAATACACAGGGGTTACTCCTGGCTTATGCACTCAGGAATTACTCCTGGCGGTGCTCAGGGGACCATATGGGATGCTGGGAATCGAACCTGGGTTGACTGTGTGCAAGGAAAATGCCCTACCCGCTGTGCTGTCGCTCCATCCCCTCTGCACTCACTGTTTTTTTTTTTTAATTTTTATTAGTGAGACACCATGAGGTACAGTTGTAGACTTACAAATTTTTGTGCTTGGGTTTCAGTTATACAATGATCAAATACCCATCCCTCCACCAATGCCCATTTCCCACCACCACGGATCCCAGTATCCCTCCCACCCCCCAACCCCCATCCCACCCTGACTCTGTGGCAGGGCATTCCCCTCTGTTGTCTCTCTCCTTTTGGGTGTTGTGGTTTGCAAAAGAGGCAATGAGTGGCAATCATGTTTGGTCTATAGTCTACTTTCAGCATTGGTAGCACTGTAGCACTGTCCTCCCGTTGTTCATTGATTTGCTCGAGCGGGCACCAGTAATGTCTCACAACAAATTGTGAGACTTATTGTTACTGTTTTTGGCATATCGAATACGTCACAGGTAGCTTGCCAGGCTTTGCCATGTGGGTGAGATACTCTCGGTAGCTTGCCGGACTCTCTGAGAGGGGCGAAGGAATAGAATCCGGGTTGGCTGCGTGCAAGGCAAACACCCTACTCTTTGTGCTATCACTCCAGCCCAGATCATTGGTATAATAATTTAAATTAGATTATTAATATACTAATAATAAATACTTGGAGATGCTCAGGGCTTACTCCTGGTTCCTGGTGGTCCTCACTCCCAAAGTCGGGATGTTGGACATCAAGATCCAACATATGGGATATTGGGTATTGAGTCCAGACTGGCCCCATACAAGGTAGGCACTTTACCACTGTACTATCTCTTTATCCCCTGTATAGTCTATTTTTTAACAAATTATAAAGGTAAAAGGTAAAGGCCCTCCCGTTGATCGTCGATTTGCTCGAGCGGGCCCAGTAACGTCTCCATTGGAGACTTTGTTGTTACTGTGTCTGGCAGATCGAATACTCTCGGTAGCTTGCCGGGCTCTCCGAGAGGGGCGGAGGAATCGAACTCGGGTCGGCCATGTTAACAAATTATAAGCTAAGAATAATTTTCACAATTTTAAAGAATTTTTAAAATAGAACAGAAAGTAAAAGAAGAAAAGTATGTATCAGATATTATTGATACACACAAGGCTGAAATATTTAATATTATCTGATACATATAAAACTATGTATCAGATATTATTGATACCACAAGGCTGAAATATTTAACATTTGGCCCTTTACATTAAAAGTATTTAGGACTGGGAGCCAGAAAGATAGTAGAGTGTACACTTCCTTTGCACACAGATGACTAGGTTCAATTCCTGACACCCCATGTCGTCCCCTGAGCTCTGCCAGGAGTGATCCCTGAGCACAAAGCCAGGAGTAATCCCTGAGCACCATTGAATGTGGCCCAAAAGCAAACAAACAAAAAAGTAGGCAGTTGCCGTAAACCATTCTTTTGGGGGAATGGAATTCTATTCTTTAATAGGACTTTATATTTGTGTTTTCAAAAGTAGAAGGGAACCCCTTATAACTCACACCATTCTTTCATAAGCTTCCAGGGCAAGTCATTCTTATTTAAGAATATTGGGAGCTATAGAAAGATAGTACAGAGAGAAGATACTTACCTGGAAAGTGAGCCAATCTGATTTGATCCCTGGAACCACTTATGGTTTACTGAGCACTATCAGGAATCATCCCTCAGCACTGAGCCAGGAGTAAGCCCTGAGCATCTCCAAGTATCCCTCCACTCCCCAAAATAAGTAATTTGGTATGAAATACTAGCATCGTTGGTATGAAATCCTCTTAAATGAACTATATTTTTATTTTTAATGTGTCACTGAATTTTTATTATGATTTAATTTTCCATTGTAGTAGAGCTAAGGCTTATGATTGTCTCATAAATGAAAGCATTTGATAGTATTCTACATGCATTACTAAGTTGGGACATACATATACTTGATATAACAATAACAAAAAAGTGACAAAGCATTGCCTTAAGAAGCAAGATTGGGGCTGGAGTGATAGCACAATGGGTAGGGTGTTTGCCTTGCACGCGGCCGACCCGGGTTTGATTCCCAGCATCCCATATAGTCCCCTGAGCACCACCAGAAGTAATTCCTGTGCATCACCGGGTGTGACCCCCCCCAAAGAAAAAGAAAAGAAAACACTGAAAACATCCCCATTAATATCAAGAATAATATATAAAATAGTGATTATGACCACTACTTCAACTCTGAATACTATTAACCAATGAAATGGTAAATTTTGTCTCCCCAGCACCATCAAGAGTGATCCTTGATGCTGAGCTGAGAAACTTACTTTCCACTGAGTAATACACGCACACACACACACACACACACACACACACACACACACCACTGTGGATTCAAAGTACTTAAATTACTCAAAACTTCTTACTTTCCACTGAGTAATACACACACACACACACACACACACACACACACATACACACACACACACACACACACACACACACACTGTGGATTTGAAGTACTTAAATTACTCAAAACTTCTACTACTGTAGTTGAAGACACCAGAGGGTGCTATAAGAACACATATAAAGACTCTCCATTGCCCAAACTGGGTAAGCATAGTAGCTGGGAATATAAAAAGCATATTCAGAATTTTAATTGTTGTACATCTGTGTTCATATAGTAATCTTGGGTTCATATAATAATCTCTTCATCTTCTTCTTTCTCCTCCTTGCCCCCTCCCTTCCTCTTCTTCCTTCCTACCTTGTTTCTCCTTTCTCCTTCCTTCCTTTATAGCCTACATGTATGGAGCTTCCAGAGGAATTACTTCAGCTCAAGGACTTCCAGAAGCAGCGCAGAGAGAGAGCTGCCCAAGAATATGAGGTGGATGCACAAGGACTCTTAATAAGGACTGTGCTACACCCAAAGAAAGCAGTGACAGAGACCTTGGGGAAAGAGGAAAGAGTGAGGGGCTTCTTGCTCTGTAAAAACTCCTTGTTAGACAAAGCTCCAAGTTTTACGTCTCCCGAGGATGTCGAGGATGTCGGTTTGCTGACAGGAGCATCTAAGAGTAAGCTGCCTCCAGCAGAGCCGCAGCCGCCACCTCCCCTAAAGGGAGACTCCAGGGAGGAGGCCAGTAATAAACTCACTCCTCCTGAGTCTGAGGGGCTGGAGGATCCAAGTCTGCCCCAAGAAGAATACCTAAAGATATCCAAGCATGAATTTCAGACAAATTTATCTTTAAAACAGGAGATAGAACAGTTACTGATGGCAGAAAACAAAGAAAATGTAAAATGCACCAAGCAAGATGTGTCCAGGACTTTTCCCCTTCCTCCGGAAATTAGAGGGTCTCCAAAGGACACCTTCCCTCCTTTCAGAGAAGCTTTGCTTTCCACACTTCCTCCCTGTCCGGCCCTGGAGAAGACAGATTCCTGGATGCCTCCTCCAAATCTTCCCTAGAGATCTGCTGCCTGTTCTTGAGGTCTCAGAGGTGGCCCATTTCCCGGCCTTTGTGGCCTTCCAGATTAGTTCTCCATCAGCCACAGGCTTCCGGGGAAATTGCATCTACTTGCTGCTTATTGCTATATTCTTGGAATTCGATTGGAATGGGAATTAAGAAGTTAAAGAAGAAGTAAGTTTTCTGATTATGTCACCGTGCAAAAATGTTCCCAGTGGCCAGAGTGAATTATTTCTCATAAATTGGGTTTAGAGAATTTCAAAAGGAAAAGTCTTGTTTAGTGTTTGCAAGAATCTATATTTTAACATTTTAGTTAAAATGTGGGGTTTTCTTTTTCAGTTTGAAGGGGGTTAGTACAACTCTAAATCACAAGTTTTAAAAAATAACAAGCTGTAACTTTGTCCATACTTTTTTTTTCCTTTTAAAAATATTAACACTTGTCAGTTATATCGCATTAAAAGAGTAAATATTGTTTATTTTTAATGTTCTCTTGTGTCTTAGTCAAATAGTAGCTTATGTTATAATGGGAACCAATATCCCGATTTTAATTCCTTTAATACCATTTAATTTTAGAAAGTTTTGTCTGTTTTCCTCACTAAGCAGAGGTGTCTTTTTAATATTATGTGAGTAGTCTTGTCTGTTATGTAAACTTGAAGTTTGATTCACCTGTTTGAAGTCAGTGGCCTATCCTAAGGGAAAAGCCAGACAGCGTGCTCTGCCTTCTAATGCTACTTGCACTTTGCACACATTCTTTTGTGCAGAAGAAACAAGCCTGTTTTAACCCTATCTCTCACTTTTTCTAATTGGGTCAAGGTAGAAATAAGTATGATTATCTAGGCCTGGAGTCTAAAAGTCTTATCATTCTATGGACTTGATTACTTACTGCACCTGGGGGAAATATAGGGAAAGTCTCTGATAGGGCACATCCTTATCTTCATTAACCCATCCTATTTGAGCTCTAACAAAAGCAGAGCAGTTCCTTTCTCAATTCTAGAGTCCAGGTATAGTCTAAGCTTAAGATAAAAGCAAAACCAAGAGTAGGCAACTCAGCTGTGCAGCGATTCTGCCTCAGTTTGTCCTTCATTTTGAAGGTCAACTTGGAGCCAAGGTGGTTTCTGATTTGTCTTGGATGAATGCATTTTCAGGTTGAGACCAGAATGTGATCAATCTAGGGCATGAAAGGGCATGAATTCCTGTGAAATTCCTTGAGTTGCTTTAGCTTCTTACGAAACCATTGTTACCACTCCCAACATATATGCAAACAGGTTGTAAATAAAAAAAAAACATTTTGTAATTTTATTTTTTAAAATGATTTTGTGGGGAGCTTCCCGAAGGGGCTAAGGAGGCACAGGGACAAATCCTAGTGTTTTTTGGTCACCCACGCCAGTAGTTAAATACAAGGGCCTGTGAATGCAATGCTGCTCCTGCCCCGAGGTATCTGAGATTATCTGGGTCACTGGGTGAAGCTTAGGAGCCTCCAGCCACACCTGGCAGTCTTCAGGGGACTCTGTGATGCTGCAGATCAAACCATGTCTAATGCACATGCCCTAATTGCTATGCTATCTTGGCCCTAGTTTTCTCTCATTTTGTATATTTTGTAACAAAATGAGATGTGAGGGAAATGAATTGCTTTTATTTCTCTACCCCAACAGAAAAAGCATCTAATGTTTTTGTTAATTCCAATATTCATGGCATGGGATATAACCCTCTGCATGGTTATAATAGGACACATATGTATGTATCCTGCTGTAGGAATGTTTTCCTACAGTCTTACACACCTACGTGAAGACTTTTAGTGGTTGCATACTATTCTTTTTTTTTTAATTTTTATTAGTGACAAACCAAGAGGTACAGTTGTAGACTTACAAATTTTTGTGTTTGGCTTTCAATTATACAATGATTGGGGGTATGGTGCCGCCAGCAGGTCAATCTGTACCTGTGAGGCGAGTGCATCAGCAGTCTGATGGTGCCTTCAGACTTCCAGATACCCCAAAATTGCTGCTGTGCCTTTGGCCAGACCCCAAAAACTTGGGGCAAAGTTTACCAAGAAAGTAAACGGCCAAAAGTTAGGTATGTGGGAAACACACCCACAAACCACCTCCGGCTCAGCTATATAATTGGAGGCAAGGCCTCTTTGGTTCCTGATTGAACTGCTTAATGGACATGATCCCAGAGACTCAGAAACGAATCTCAGAACCCAGTGGCTTTAGGTAGAAATGCGTCTGGTCTCTGCAGTAGGCTACCGGTGCTGGGCCAACCCAGGTGGGAATAGGTTTCGTGCCTTGGCCTGTTCCCCCTGGCGGCCCAGTGGCCGCCATCCGTCTGAGGCCACTGGATAGTCACATTTGGGCCCCCAGCGACGAGACACACAGGGCCTCACGGGATGAGGGTGGAGCTGGACTTGTCCTCCCCACCCCAACAAGACCCCAAGTCATCGCCCACGAATGGCCTCTCTGACTCCTGATCAAGCTGCTTAAGGGCCATGATCCCAGAGACTCAGAAACAAATCTCAAAACCCAGTGGTGTTTGGCAGAAATGCATTCGGACTCCACAGTACGTTACTGTCGCCGGGCCACCCCAGGGAGAAAAGGGTGTTGTCCCTCCGCCTGCTCCCTCTTGGCGACTTGGTGGCTATCATCCTCCAGAGGCCATTGGACAGTCAGACTTGGGCCCGCAGTGACGAAACTTGTTGGGTCTCACGGGCTTGGGGGGGAGGTGGAGCCGGGCCTGTCCTCCCCACCCTAACGAGACCCCAAGTCATCGCCCACAAATGGCCTCTCTGGCTCCTCATCAAGCTGCTCAATGGCCTTGATCCCAGAGACTCAGAAACAAATCTCAAAACCCAGCGGCTTTTGTCAGAAATGTGTCCAGACCCCGCAGTAGGTTACTGTCACGGGGCCACCCCAGGGGGGAATGGGTGCTGTCCCTCCGCCTGCTCCCTCTTGGCGACTTGGTGGCTGTCATCCTCCAGAGGCCATTGAACAGTCAGACTTGGGCCCACAGTGACGAAACTTGTTGGGTCTCACGGGATGGGGGGGAGGTAGAGCCGGGTCTATCTTCCCCACCCCAATGAGACCCCAAGTCATCGCCCACGAATGGCCTCTTTGGCTCCTCATCAAGCTGATCAATGGCCAAGATCCCAGAGACTCAGGAGCAGATCTCTAAACCCAGTGGCTTTTGGCAGAAATCCCTCCAGATTTAAGTGTATTAAAATTTCAGAATTTCAAAACCACTTGGCCCTACTGCAGCCACACGACATCATATGTTATTCATAATCAGCAATAGAACACAAATTGTCTATTGTTGCCTTTTCAGCAGATCTGAGTGTTGGGGTAAAATCTTAAATAATGGTGGGTCTGGTGTCAAAATAGTGAATGTGATCAAAGTAGAGAGAGAGTAAGGTAGAAATCATCTGCCCCACAGGCAGGGGGAGGGTGTGGGATGAGGGTATACTGGGATTTTTGGTGGTGGAGAATGGGCACTTGTGAAGGTACGGGTGTTTCATTGTATGACTGAGACTTAGACCCAAAAGCTTTGTAACTGCTCTCATGGTGATTCAATAAATAAAATTATAAAAAATGGAAAAAGAAAAAAGTAAGGTGGTGTTCATGCACAATTCAATCAGCTAATCAGTGGCTGAATAAATAGCAGTACTCCTACAAAAAAAAATTATACAATGATTAAGTAACCATCTCTCCACCAATGCCCATTTTCCACCACCACGGATCCCAGTATCTCTCCCACCCCCATTCCCCTATCCCACCCTGCCTCTGTGGCAGGGGATTCCCTTTTGTTCTCTCTCTCCTTTTGTGTGCTGTGGTTTGCAAAAGAGGCATTGAGTGGCAATCATGTTCGGTCTATAGTCCACTTTCAGCATGCTTCTCCCATCCTGGGAGGATCCTCCCAACACCCTTTATTTGGTGCTCCCTTCTCTATCTGAGCTGCCTTTTCCCCTAGCATGTGTGGCTGGCCTCCAAGCCATGGAGTAAACCGCCTGGTACTTATCTCGGCTATTCTTGGGTGTTAGTCTCCTATTTTGTTACTTTATGTTCCCCAGATGAAGTTGCATACTATTCTTAAGGGGATGCAATATAATTTATTTAGTTATGTTGGTCATTTTATTTGGTTTTTAATTCTTTTGTTGTTATTTGATTGGTTGGTTGGTTGGTTAGTTGTGGGGTAGGGGCCACACCCAACCATCCTCGCTCTGCTCTCATGAATCACTCCTAGCAGTGCTCAGGGGATCAGATGGGTTGCTGGAGATCAAACCCAGGTCAGCTGCATGCAAAGTAAATGCATGCAAAATACCTGCTGTATTTTCTTTCGGCCTAATTTTCAGTTCTTTATGTACAAAGCTTTTTGATTATTTTGGAACATTTATTAAAATGGAATTCTAGAAAAAGAATTATAAGTTCAAAGGATTTTTTGTCTTAACAGTTCTCTTCTAAAAGTATTAAACAGGGGCTGGAGCGATAGCACAGTGGGTAGGGCATTTGCCTTTCATGTGGCTAGCCCCAGTTCAACCTGGGTTCAATTCCCAGAATCCCATATGGTCCCTCAAGCACCGTCAGGAGTCATTCCTGAGTACAGACCCAGGAGTAACTACTGTGCATCGTCAGGTGTGCAGGAAAAAAAAAGTATTAAATTATATTGCTAACTCCAATTTTTGTGGTAACGATGGGTGTGTGTGAATAAGAACAAACCTACTTATTGGGGCCAGAGAAGTATTACCATTGGTAGGTTGCTTGTCTTGCATGCAACTGAACTGGGTTTGATCCCGCACTACAAATGGCCCCCCAAACATTCCAGGAATGATTCCTAAACGCTGAGCCAGAAGTAAGCCCTGAGCACTGGCAGTTGTGGAAAAAAAAAATTGTTAATCCGGCCTTGCTCCCAACTGCTCCAGGTTTGATCTTCATCACCTCATCTAAGTCCATCTCTATCCTAAGTCCCACGAGGAGTGATCCCTGAGCACAGGGCCAGGAGTAAGCCCTGAGCACATCCAGGTATGTCCGCAAACACAAACTTTTAATAAAATAATGTATGACCTGTGTACGGAAAAACTCAAAATATTGGACTATAGAGAGATAGTACAGGCAGTAAAATACTTCCCTTTCATGTGGTTGTGGCAACTGTCATTCTGGTTTTTGACCCAGGCACCACAGATGGTCTCTTGAGCACTGCCAGAGGTCTCTCGAGCACAGAGCCAAGCAGCCCCTGAGCACCACTGCGTGTGGTCCCCCAAACAAAAACCTCAAGATGCTTCTGGGAGAAGTTGAAGATCTAAAGAGGGTCTGGGGAGATAGCACAGCGGGTAGGGTGTTTTCCCTGCACTTGGCATTCCTTATGGTCCCCCAAGCGCCTCCAAGAGTGATTCCTGAGTGCAGAGAC